AAAACATTATACCCTGATTTCCCATTTTCAATGGGTTCAGGGTATAAAAATATTTATTGCGTATATATAAAAAGTTAAATATGTATATGATCAGTATCATACAAAGATATTTATTTTATGGGTTTGTTTTTATTTATAATCTATCCTGTTAGATAATTATGATACATTTGCATTAATATTTACATGTTTATAATTTCTGACTAGAGATTTAGGGTTAGAAGCGCCTTTGTATGATGATGATAATCATTTTTGTCGTACTATAAGGATACAGAAATTGATAATGAGAATGAGAATAATCTAATTTATTTGTATTAAGTTTCGTTAACCCGTGTTAACATAACAACATAACAATGACAACAAAAATAATTGTGAAGAAATATACAAATGAAAGATAGTGTTGATAATTAACCGGAGGCTGCCATCTTTATTATTTGACAATGATGGCAATAATGTGACAATGACATCAATATATATCCACTAGTCGGCTAATTTCACGTATTTTGATTTCTCTTTCTAATAGTCACAGATTCGGGTAAAAAGGAAACGTGGAACATAATTTATTTTTTTTTGTCGCATTTTTGTTAAACTATCCCTGACCGCCTGCTTGTCAAAGTTGTCCGCGAGGCTCTCGCTGGCTAATTATGCAGCCGAGTGTGAAACTCTCTCTTGGCGTGGTCTTCCTTGACAGCGCCTTTTAACAAATAAAGTTTTAATTGCTATGGTTTCAGATCTAATGACATCGTAGTTTTGGGCCCAACGTAAATGAAATTGTGCAAATTTATAAAAAGAATATGAATTATAATTGCCTAAATTTAGTTGAAATTAAATGTGCCAATGCGGGAAACGACATTAGTCTAGACGGCGCCACATTCCGATTGTCGTACGTTGCGTATGATTAATTTCTGATCAAAATTGATTTATTTATCTGGCTACGTGAATCACATATATGTACACATATCTAAATACACATATACGATATATAACGTATCGTTTGTCAATACATATATGTATGTATAAATTGAGGCTAATCAATTTATGGCTTTGAATGCCACAGATTCCTGAGAGTCCCTTATGGAAACAAAACCAAAGACAACGGAGACCGAAAGAAAAACAAAAGAGACAAATTACAAATACGTTGGGATAAGTTATCATCTCCCTCTTTCTCTTTCTCTTGCTTTTTCTTTTTCTCTTTTCAATTTCGATAAAGACCAAAGCCCCATTCAAATCAGGCACATACTCCCCATACAATCGTTACACTCAATCGAATGTGTGAAATTTCCCTTTCATAGCTGAATTAAATTCCAATGCACACACACGCACACATATACATATGTATATATGTATCTATATATAAATTTATATGTTTGTATACGCATATATAGTGCGAGTTTAAGCTACTGAAATGCCACACAGTGGGAGACTTGGTGGAAATCTTTGTTATATTTTGTATTTGATTAGGCCTTCTTTTCGATCTAAGATTGTATCAATTTTTAGCATATTTTTGAGCTAGTGATAATTGATAGATATATTATGTTTAATCTCAAAGACAATATATTATTAGTTTTAAATAATTTTACAAAATCTAATGTTATATTAAAATTTATAGATTATACATTTTCTGGACCTTCTTTGAAAGAAATGAAAATTTAATTCCGAGTATCTGTTGTTTAAAATATAAACAAAAATACACGTTTTTGGTTTAATTTTAAATGAGATGAGAAATGTATAACTAATATATTTATATATAGTTAATTTATATATCTAATTAACTATATTGTTAAGTTCGAAATTGGTTGTGATGTTAATGCTTAACTGTTATCCAATTTTTAATTCTATTATAAGATATAAGATGAATGACGAAGAATTCAATGAATAGAATATTTTTCACATATATTGTTTAGTTATGACCATAGTGCATGGTTTGTTTTTGCTTGGATTTTATTTAGCGCCGTCCTCCATTTTGAATGTCTTCCCTTCTAATTTCCTTGATCGAATTTACGGTTTTGTTGCTCATGTCATCAACTCAACTGAGAAATAACAACAAACTGAATATGTTTTCCATGTTAGTTTGTGTTGGGCTCCCTTGTCTCGGGCCATCCTCATCTTTTTCCAATTTCCATTATCCAAATAATTTTGGTATGCCAGTCGAGCGATTTGTGTTTTATCGGTCGGGTCTCTGGCTGACAAATTGCGCTGTAGAGAAATAAAATGCTGCATACATTTCGGCACACGAAAAAGTTCCAAACTATTGCCAAAAATGTCAAATGAAAAAATCGTGGCCCATAACCTTTCCAACCATTGTCCTTGGTGCCCACGCACAGCTGACATTTCGAGCGTGCGACTGCAACCGAATATGAAGGCGGAAGCAACGGAAAACTGCACGGCCAACAAGACAGCAGCCAAGTTGGCTTCACGCAACTGTTAATGCGCCAGTTTAGCGTAAGCACCGAATTCAAGCTTCAATGGTGAATTCCCGCCACAATCTCACGCAAAGCCCCACTCGAACAACAATAACAACTTAGCGCCCAGCAGACGGCAGAAGTCCACTGCATAATACTCGTTTCCATTGCTAAAAGCCTCTCAATATACTTAAATATCAATATTATCCGATTTTACACGCACCATTGGCCAGGCTGTCGAATGCATAC